GAAACAAAATTAAAATAAAATTGATAAAATTGAGAAAAAATAAAAAAATCAATAGAATTATGTAAATGCAATAAAAAGTTATAATAAATATTAATAAGTATATTATAACATAAAATTAATTAAAAATAATTATATAATATAAATTATATAATATTAAATGAAATAAAAAAGTTCCAGTAAAATATAATAAAAAGAAAGAATAATATAATTAAATTGTATTATATTATATAAAATAATATATTAACCAAATTAGTATCAAATAAAATATATTAGAAAAAACACAATTAAATATATTAAGGAGCACAAATCTTAATTGGTTTTAGGATAATAAAGCATATATTCTGAATTATATTCATCTTATAATTGCAAGCCACTTGCTGTGTGCATAATGTTTACACTCGTCTTTATGTGATCTCTTTTCGCAACGAAAAAGCAATAAAACTAAGAATTAAAAGAAATTACTTACATCAATAAAGCATTTTGTTTTTCCTTTGCATTGCATATTTATTAAACCTCTGCATGCCACGCGCCAATTGTTGAATTTATTTACTTTTATTTTATTTTTGACAGTTCAATGCCACTGACGTCAATTGTACATTTGCCAAAAGTAAATTGTTGCTAAATAAACATCTACTACATGCCATTCATTACATATGTACATACATATATGCATATATGTTCAAATAAACAGATTTAAAGTGCGCATGCTACTGTGCTTTACTTTTGTTTAAATAAAAACCCAAAAAAAAAAGTCTCACAAAAAGCAGCAAACGAAAATTCCCATACAAAATGATTTAAAACACTTCCGTTAATTTGCAGAAAGTGTGAAGAAATTTATAAAAAGCATTATATATAATTAAAAAAGTAAAAGTGTCTGTGAAGAGTGCACGAACAAAATTGTTAACGAAACGCAAAACGAACTTTATAATTAACAGCAGCAATTTCGCAACAACGCCTTTTAATTTACACATAAAACCTATACATATATATTTAAAAAATTAAAGAAAAATAAAAAATTATGGCGCCAAATTCATTTATTAATCGATTAGTAACGGTGAGTGAGAAAATATAAATAATAGGTAAATAATAAATAAATAAATTTGGTCTAAAACAAATTTTTGTGGTAAAACTGCATGCCTGCTTTGTGAACTATGCTCCCAAATGTAGGCAGTGTTTGGTAAGCTGTAATTACAATGCCAACACATTGCCTACATTAAGGCTACTGTTGAAATACAATGAAAATAAATAATTTTTACTCAATAATTTATTCGAAGTGATTTGAAAAGCATTATATCATCACCACCAATTCATATTTATTTATTTTTAAAAATAATAGCAACGAATTTAAACGTTTTGCCAAAACTATAAAAAAATTTAAATTTTATTACAATTTTTTCCACTTATAGCTTAAAAAGTAAAAAAAAGATAGATTTACTCTTTATATAAATTTCATTTTTATTCCATTTTCACGTGTCTGAATGTTTTTCTTCCTCTTGAATTAAATTCACTTATTCATGGTCACGTTCGCTGTTAATGTGAAATATAATATTTTCGCGGATTTATTGTGTAAAAAACACTTTAATTAACAATAAATAAAAAATTTCAAACTTTCAAAAACTTTAGTCATAAAATTCGACAGTGTAATCTATTATGGACTAAAACTTATTTTTTATTATTATTCGATAAAACACATATAAATTTCTTTTGCCCACATTCTCATAAAAGGCTTGCCAATGCATGCATAAATGTCCATAATGAACTTTTTTTCCTTAAAAGAAAAAGTTAATGCATTAACCAAACATTGTGATATAATAGCTGAAAGCAATAAATGTCATTAAATATTGGCACAAATGCTTAATGATTGCTTAAGTAGTAATTATACTCAAACAAAAACAAACACTAATGACACCCATTAAATATTTTGCCGATTACCCAATAAATGAGCATGACTACGAGTTGGGGTTAATGTACGTCTAACTTTGTACTCACAAAAAATTATAACTAAAAAAATAAAGCTATATTAATTAAAAATTAAAAAAAAATGAATACATGAACAAAATAAAATATAATTAAAAAAATTTAAAAAAAATTAAAATAAAAAAATAAACAAAATAAAATAGCATGCATTAAATTAAATTAAATTAAATACAAAAAATAATTACAAAAAATATTTTATTAAAAAATTAAATAAAATAAAAATATTAAATTAAAATAAAAAAAATTTAAAAATAAATTTAATATAAAAAAAGTAATATAATTAAATCAAAAAAATTATAAAAAAATTTAATTAAGCAGAAAAAAATAAAATACAGTAAAATAGAGTAAGTAATGGTAATAACTAAAATGATATTAAATAAAATCAAAAAAATAAATAAAGTTAAATATTTTTAAATTAAAAATATAACAAAAAACCATAAAAAAATAAAATCAATTAAACTAAAATGAAATAAAATAAAATATAATGATTGATAAAAATAATTTATAAAATGTAGTTATATAAAAAATACATAAAATAAAATAAAAAAAAAAATTAAAATAAAAAAAAAAAATTAAAAAAATCAAATTAAGTAAAACAAAAAAAATAATCTATATTTAATTAAATTAAAAACAAAAAAATGAATGAAAAGAAATAAATTTAATAGAAAAAATTTAAATTAAGTAAAGTAGAATAAAAAAAATTTAAATAAAATAAAGTAATAAAATTAAAATAAAATTAAAATAAAAAATTCAATATAAAAAATAAATAAAATTTAATTAAGTAAAACGAATTAAAGTAATCTATACTAAATTAAATTAAAAACAAAAAAATTAAATTAAATAGAAAAAAATAATATTAAGTAAAATAGAATAAAAAAATTTAAATTAAATGAAATTATATAAATTAAATTAAAAAAATTAAATAAAGTGAAATGTTCTAAAATTAATAATATAAAAATAAGCCATAAAAACAAAAAAATATTTAAGATAAAATAAAATGAAAAAAATAAAATGTTGTGGCTTATAAAAGTTAATGAGAAAACGAAATAAAAAAGATTAAACTAAAATAAAAAAACTATTTAAAATAATATTAAACAAAAAAGTTTAAAATTAAATAAAGTAAATTGAATTAAATCAAATTAATAATAAACAATATAATAAAAAAAAAATAAAAAATTAATTCATTGAAAAATAGTAAAACAGAGTAAAATATAATAAGAAAGTTAAACAAAATAAAATTAGTTAAAATAAAAAAATTTAAATAAAGTAAAGTGTTATAAATTAAAAACTATAATAAAAAATGAGTAAAATAAAATGTAATGACTTATAAAAATAAATAACAAAAAATAATGTGCAATAAAATAAAAGAAAAAAATATAAAACAATAAAAATTTTAAATTAAGAAGAAACAAAGACAATAAAATATTATACACCTGCTTTGAATTGAAGATACCAGGAGAATCCGTATATTAAATAGTTAAAATCTTTTAGAAATAATTGGTAGAAATACTCAATTTCCACGTTTTGTTTACTTCAATTTCTTTACTTATTTAAATATTAGCTACTACAATTTATTAAACACCAACAATAACTTATAAAAGAAAGTACAGATTATTACACTTTGACCTTCCATTAGACTAAATAAAAAAGTTCATAGAAACCCCGCATAATTCCAACGCACACAATTTCTGTCTCTCCTTTAATATCTAAAATACACTTACGCATTTTCGAAGTATGAGTTACTTTCATTTATGCAAACTCATTATTCATGTACGCCTACACATGCCAACAAACAGTTCATTTGAATCTCTCTCTCTCCCTCGCTCTACCTCACGCGCATTCTTGTTGTATGGTTGTAGTACATAAAGCAAAAATTTGGCAGCATCATTTATAACCAAACAACAATGAATGAACAGCAGCAGGTTCTAGCTCGCAGGATGGAAGGATAAAGAATATGAGCTGTGGTACTTAAAAGAGCAATTCGTACAAAATCAGTGGCAGCTGTGGCCCCGTTGGGGGTTTGCTAATGTCAAGTGAAATGAGCGAAATGATTTACCACTGCAGACAACGGCATGAATTGAAGGATTTGTTGGATATTTTTTAATTTTTTTTTTTCTCTCAAAAAATGTTGCCATTGTTAGGCTTTATGTGGCATCTGCATTTATGTACAGCAAATATAATGCACATGTTGATCTTTCCACTTTGTACGATTGATAAATTGTTGTAATGTAATATGTGGAAAGACATAAATGGCTTATGGAACGCAGGTAGTTAGTGAGGTATTCAAAGGTGCGCACTGATTGTAAGGAAAACTAAATGACTGTCTGAATATTTGTGCAGCAAATAAGCATACTCCTCAGCTCATATTCAACTCAGAAGAGAAAATAAATAATAAATTAGTGAGCAAAAACCAATTGAACCCAGAGCCATTCGAGACGAGAAGTGCTCTGCATTCCTTATTCATTAAAAGCACGTTTCACATTGCCTCATTATACCTAACTAAAATTAGTTTAACATAATTTAATTAACTTAATTTTTTCATTTTAGTTAATTTTTTTTATTTTATTTTATTTTATTTTATTTTACTTTATTTTATTTTATTAATTTTATTTTACTTTATTTTATTTTATTTTATTTTATTTTATTTTATTTTATTTTATTTTATTTTATTTTATTTTATTTTATTTTATTTTATTTTATTTTATTTTATTTTATTTTATTTTATTTTATTTTATTTTATTTTATTTTATTTTATTTTATTTTATTTATTTTCATTTTATTTTATTTTATGTTTTATTTTTTTCGTATAGAATTTAATTTTACTCTATTTTATTTTTATATGTTTTATCGCTTTAATATTATACAAAATTAAAAGCAGCAGTTTTATGTAAAATATGCCTTTTATCCATCTGCATGTACTCATATATACATATATATATACTTTCTTGCATACATTTATTGCACATTAAATTAATCGTCCACCTTTTTCATTATTTTTTCTCTCATTTTTTGTTTCATTACAGCAATCTCTGCTCGCCGGTCGCATACCAGTCGCCTCAATGACAGGTCCAATTAAACGCGGCCTCCTATGGCAACAACGTGATCGCCTTTTTTCACGCTGGAAGGAAAGGTAAGTGAATACAGGAAAAAAAGATGTAGAATACAAAACACGACAAACAAATGACCGTAGCTGAAAAGATTTCAGCGCCAGGGAAAATATGATAGTCGTCGGAAAAAAATTCAAGCAAAAAAGGAAAGAAGAAAAAAAAACCATTGATACGTGAGGTAAATCGGCATAAAACGAATTGTCAAATAATTAAATTAAGTTCACTTTTTCACGGAAAGTCTGCTCTAATTGTTGGCTCTGAGGGGATTACGAAAAATAGAAATAAAAATACTTGTCTTCGTGGGCATAATGGTGCACGAGAATTCTTTTTTTTGTGCTTTAACAGTAATTAGTGGCGCCCAAGAGATAAACTAATTGCTTCTTTAAAAATTTTGAGAATTTTATCAGAAGTTGCTGTCATTGATAAATGCAAATGTTGAAGAAGAATTTTAATTTGCTAGGCTTTGTGCTCGCTAGCAGGAAGTAAATTACTATTCTAAACTATCCGAAGGCACATACACCAAAAACATCAAAAAAAGTAAATAAATAATAGGAGAGTCTAGAGGTATTCATAACTGTCATACAGTAGGTCACTTGAAATCAGTGCCTGACTCTCAGCAAGCAAATGGCAGCTGAAATAGAGACAGAAAGATTTAACAAGAGCCTCAAGTTTTCTATAAACATAATTCTAAGGTACATATATGGCGTATTTATGGTTAGTGTTAACTGCCCCCACCGAAAGGTATAAGATAAAGCTTCTAGTCAAAATATTTGCTATAACATTGATGAGAGAGCCACTCAGGGAATAGACGTACTTAAAAGGAGAATTCGTATTTATAAGTATTAAATAGTCAAACTGCTATTAAGAGCATACTTTCATATAGCAGGAAGTCCCTATCAGTTTCACTACAAAGAGAGCCGAGCGAATGCTGGAAGAGAAGAAAGAAAAGAAAAAAGTTCACCTTAAATGGAGTACCTGGGCATATGGGAGTCAAAAGCCATGAAAAAACCAATGAACCGACTTAAGAGATAGCCCTTTTAGAACAAGCTGTAGCTTTAGGCTTAACAAAACACCACATGGAGGTAAATAACACATAAACGAACTAGTATTTAACTGGTTTTAAAATGCATTTAAAATACCAGGCGCTAGGGAAACAAGTGTTCGACTGTCTAGCGGAGTTACCTTGAGTAAAAATTGGTTTAAAAAATGGTTCGAACATTTGAAAAGGTGAAAACAGAAACCCCACTGAGGTATTATAATCAGCTTATGGGCCTAAGTGCATTGACCTACAACAACATCAACTTAATTGAACTCCTTGTTGTTAGTCTAAGTTTCATCTCAATTACGACAAAAAATTCTAAGATCCAATTAGTTTATTGGTATTTAGCTTCAATGGAAGTAATTATTATGAGTTTCTTTTTTTTCGACTTGAGAGCATTTTTTTTGTAATTCATTGGTTGCCTCAAGTTGTAGGAGCTTTTTTTTTATTCCTTAGGTTTTTTATTGTATTTTCATTTTTCTATTTGAACGCATTTCGCCTTTGTTTAATTACATATTTCTGCTTTCTTGTTAACCATTTTTTCAGATATTTTGTGCTGACACGCGATTATCTGCATTGTTTCAAAAGAGCATCCGGTTCGGCTAATGAACGCGCCTCCGATATGGGACAATTTATATTTAAGGTGAGTTTAAGGAAAATCATTTTCATTTTCCGAAGAAAAGAAGAATATAAAAGTAGATATTATGGAAATAATTACTAAGCACTGCCTATAGTTTGGAAATAATTCTTCAAATAAATACTTACATAATATTGGCTTCCTATATGGAACCATATATGTTTATATAATGAGGCATAAGGTTACCATCTAGCCAAGTTTATTCTCAATGTGTATATCAAATGATTAGGAAATACCTTAGAGCAACTCAAAAAATTTTTGAAAATTTGTTAGGGTTGCCATTTTGTCTAATTTTTTCTGGCTTATATTATTACTGATATCAAAAAATATTAGTATGAGGAGAGTGCAACCATATACTTTCATCAGGATTTAATTTAATATTTTTTAATATTATAAATTTTAATCACATATAAAGTAATGTTTCTCCTCACAAGGCGCCTTCCTCCAACGTGCAAAAGCTTTCGAACCTATGAGAATGCAACCAGTGCCAGCTGGTATAACCTCGACTTTGTTGAACCAATGAAAATTGTCGATGGCACGACGTGTAGTCTCCCAACCAATGGATATAGTCGATGGTAAGACGTATAGTCTCCCAAATGAATTTCTTGGGATTGCCACGATTATTGCCGGGGGTCCAATATGCGTAAGGCGTTAGTTGATTGGGTTCAATTTTTGACTCTAGGAAACCTACAATAAAATTTTTAATGAAATAAAATATTACACCAATTGAAAAAATATTTAAATATTCAAACAATTTGGGTCTACATGAGCTGAAGCAATACTGTACAAAATCCTTGTCCAAAAATTCCAACTCCAGTAATTTTTAATTTTTTTTATTTGGGAACCTCGAACACTGGCTGCGAGTTCTGAAATATTTTCTGAGCTTGAGACTATGCACATTTGGATCTATGCGCGTACTCGAGAGCTACACAACCTTATTAGTAACCTTAACCAACTTCCCATTTTAATTTCTCGAATGAGGTTGCATAGTGTTCTCCGCTAAACGGCAGCCACTAACGGTTTCTGACAACAGTTGCGGAAAACAAAGTTCCAGCGGAAGGAAAGTGCTGGCAGATAGCAAGTGGTAGCAAGGAAGTTTTGGATAGTTCTGTCATCTCAAGCAGCGATTTCTAGAACCCACCATCCAGCTATTTGATTATTTCAAAGTTTCACACGTTGAGATCACCGTTATTGTGAAAGCTTCAGAGTTTATTGAAACTGAACTGTGGACTGTGGAAAGCCCTTGACACGATTGATACAGATTAAGAAATGATGACAGATATGTGAAAATGAGCCACTGTCTGGCTGTCATGTACTCTTCTTGGGTTTAACTGAGACTGACTAAATTGAATAAAACATCGTTCAATTGAATTCTTCACCACAAGCTCATGAAGAGCATACGCAAGTACAGCAATAGGCAAGCAAACAAGGTACAGCCAAGCAGTTCTTCCTCTAAAAAAGAAATCACTAGAATGAGTTTTCTCCAAGCAAACCGTTAATTCAGGAATTTACTTAGAACCAAACCGCTCCTGGTTAAGATTACGCTATATCTCTCACTAAATCCATGCAAATTTGGTTGAAATAAAAAAAATTCTCTCAGAAAAACGCATATTTTTAAAGGAAAGCATGCTTTGAGAGACCTTTTTTTGTTAGTACGATATGCAGAGAGGCAAAGAGCTTCTCTTTTGTAGATGGTTTATGAGCTTGAAGAGGAAAAATACTACTTTTTGGGCGTTGCTTTTGGGTAGTGGAGACTTTGAACTACAAATTTCTGAAAATATTACCAAGACTTCATGGCTAAAAACAGTACAAGAAATGTTGTGTGGGCTTAATATAGGTCACCTAAATCGCACTTAGATATCACTTTGTTGGCAAGTCTTGCTTCTTTTGCTCCGCTCATAGTTACCTTTGTCTTCATAACTGGCAGCCGGGTAATGCCTCCATCCACTTCCTTTCCCCTCTCAACTTTTGGTTCTACGTTTGTATAAAGAATTTTTGGGCGTTTGTACACACCCACCTACATTCTTACATATATATATATATATGTACATATATATTAATTATAATGTTATTAGCTTATAAATTTTGCTACTGATTCTTAATAACAATCAAATGTACGAAAAAAAGTATGAGTAAGAAGCAAAAGAAAAGCATTTGAGGCGCAAAAAAATAAAAATAAAATTACTGTAATTACGGCTAAATTACAAAAACTTTCCAAAAACTCCAGGCACTTCTTCATATAACACTGTGAATATGTACATATAAATTTCCATATATGTATATATATGTGCGTTTATACTTTGAAAGTTTGCTAAGCGCGTCTCGAAACATGTGCGCTGAATCGCTGGAAGGCGTTAACTCAACTTTTGCGTTGAGGTCATTTTTATTACGAACTAAAGTAATTTGCGTGATAATAACTTTAAGCTTGAACTATGCGCGTTTTCATACAAACAGCGAGGCTTAGTTCAAAAAAAAAAAAAAAAAAAAAAAAATCTTAATCTCACACTTCTGCTATTATTACTTCAACATTTGCTTGTTGTTGTTGTTGTTATATTTTTCCACTAACTTTCTAAAGCTATTTCGTATTACCAACTTGCGAACATTAGCTCTGAGCAGAGATAACAAAGCAATGCGAGTTAGCAGCGGCAGTTAAAGTTGAGAGGAAGAAAACAAAAATAAAAGTAGTGAAATTTTGTAGGAAAAGCAAGATTTACATACGTACATTTATTATGTGTTCATCACTTTAACACTTTAAGCTCGCATCGTTTATCCAAGCTTTCAGTGCAATTTCAGTGCAGCTACGCATTTGCGGTCAAAGTTCCTTGCGAGGTCACAGCAGCGTGCCAGTGGGTCAGGTAAAAGCGGGTTTCACTGCAGCGTGTGTGAGCTTGAGCAATTCATTGTTAATTTTTGATATCTTAATTTAATTTAATGTTCATTTAAAGTTAAAAAAAATTTTAGTGCTTTCAATAGCAGCTCATGGGGATAAGTGAAAGTTTTATGGGAAATGCAGCTTATGTAATGACAAAGCCAGTTGTAGTATCTAAATTGAAACTTTGTTTTTGATGTGAAATTATTTTTATTGTTCATTTGATACACACTTACGCTAAGCACTGTGAAAATTAAATTAATCTTAGTTGCCTAATCACAAGATGAACCAAATTGACTTAACTGAACAATTGAACTTTTGTCTTGCCACACATTAATCGTACCAGAAATGTCTTAAATTTAAAGTAAACAATGCAATTCAGGCACTAATTAGTCACAACAGATTCGATAGTCAAACCTGAGTCCCTCACACTAAAACTTCTGAAAGTCACCCATTCAAAATTTCCGCTTAAAACCCTCACAAAAGACCGCAATCATAACACCCGCTTATGCCTGTCCCATGCAACATTTATGCCGTGAAACGTCTATGCTTCGACTTAAGGCGCATAATGTTATACTGACGCAGGCACTTACTCAAAGTTGAACCAGCACCTAAGCATAACCGTAAGGGAGCACTGGACTTAAGAGGCACTACTCATCATCACAAAATCGAACCGCTAAACAGTGTAGCATAGCGACAAGCCCTAAACGACCCTAAACCCTTTGTAAACGATTCTCCCGTGAGCGACATGAACGGAATACAAGCAGCCATGGGTTTTAGGCCACCGTAAAACTGGCACAATTAAGTTGTGGACATTGCAGTCAACTAAACTCTCGCCATTTCTAACTTGACACCGAGATACTTAACGTCTTTCCAACAAGCAATAAGTCGCCACACGACATTAAACTCCTCTTTGCATGCCCTCTTAATCCCCTCTGCCTCTGGCGGTCGAAGCGGTTTGTTTTATGAGCCCCCCGTTAGATTTTCTAGAGGACAAAGTGCTCTGCGGCGGGCTTTAATGAACCGCAACAACAACAAAAAACGAAAACATTTATTCTTGATTGGGCCATTTATTTAATTGGCGTTTTGTAACTGCTGTCGCAGATTTTCGGTGTTGGTCCTCCCTCATGTTCTTCTTTATTTTAAACCGGCTTTGGACGGCCGTTGTAGTTTTTAATGAGCATTTTAGTTCATGTCAGAAATCCAGTCGCAGAGCTTGACATTCCCTGCCGTGAGACGACTGGGGCCCCAGGCTTCCGAATAGCAACATGCAATACTGATCACTCGGCTATCTACCATTTACATTTTCAGCTCCGGCTTATTTGAGCTGGGACATGTTCAATGATATTCCCAGGATTTGAATATTTCGCGTACTTTTCTGCGCAGAAATTTGCATAAAGAATTCGGTATAGAGGCCTATACAGTTCACTTCTTCCAGAAACTGAGAGCTCATGACCATCCGTTACAAATTCCCTTCGTTCCATTGAGTGGGCATCGGATGGTAGATGATGAGCATTTTTTCCCAAAATCCTCTTTTCCGATAAAGCTCATCTTCAACTCGGCGGCTACGACTGCTTACTGTCGTATTTTTAGGCTCCAAAAACCCATATGGAGCCATGGAAAAGCCAAACAATAGTGATCCGTTTTCCCGAGTAGTCGGCCATATACTTCTTCTTTTTCTCTTCTCTTCTGGAAACTACCAAAATCAATTAACGACTGCTAAGCGGCTGTACTAGGCATTATACGAGTAGATCCATGTGAGGATGCAGAAAGCGACGATATGCTTGGATTGATAAGCGGCAGTGTGGGCCTTGTACAAAGGTCTGAAAGAAGCTGGAAGGTTCTCGCAACCTCGTTTCGGTAATGAAAAAACGTAGGACTACTCAAGAGCGGGAAAAGGCTTCTTTTACGGTGTAAATAAATAGCAAAAAGTAGATGGAATTGATATCCAACTGTATGATAACTATGCAGACTCGGCCCAGATGTGGCATAATAAAGGTTAAGGACCTGTTAAACTAGCCAAAATGACAATCATTGGTTCCTTGGTGTGCTTGAAATCGAAATGGCTCTGCTCCATAAAAGTCGGGAACTAGAAGAGACTAAGAGACATTTGTCGATTTTCTATGTGAGTGTCCAG